GTTTTGCCATTGCCTTCTTCTGTGTGTGTGAATGGAGTAATTGTTGGGATGCCATGGAGGAAAACTCCGTGTTGCCTAGACCACGGCCTTGCCCAACACAAGTTATAAATTCGGGCACCGCCGGGAATCGAACCCGAGACCCCAGGATTACAAGGCCAGCGTTCTAACCGCTAGACCACCGTGGCGGTTCTTCCACGAATGTATTCACAAGCCTGTATGGTCACCACGTTGACACTTTAAAACGTTTCGCACAAAATAAAACAAGCTCTGAAAGTATGATTCGTGCTGGAATACAAATAATATCCCCATTCGTTCTTTGCAACGTGCCTTGTTTGATAGTTCCCACTTTGGCCACCAGATCTCAACACCTCACTGTCCACCTCACGACTTTCCTCGTCCGTAATTTTATTATCAACGCTCGCAGGATAATCAAAAGTACGACTCTGTAGTTGTGTATAATGGCACAACGACCACATCAAATTTCATCTAAATCCGTCCACTGACACTCGAGTTAAATCGACTGGCAGACGGACAGACATGAACAGTCCATAATGGACTTCCTACAAAGGAATCATAACAGCTGCATAATCGATTAACCAATATCGATTGCCTTATCACATTATGTACAATTAACGTTGACAAATAAAATAAACAATATTCCTTTCAGACGTATCAATAACAAAACAAAATGGCGTCCCACATTACTCGCTCGCTATAAATGCTTCTCATAGTCTCCCGTCACCGAAAATAAATTTCCCTCTTCTAACTAATTTTTTGTTAGGTTTAAAGCACTGGCTTGCACTCTGTATGTATACGATCATTCTAAGGCAAGGATTGCGGCGTATTTAGTACGAATCCCTATCGGCGGATGACACATTAGGGGTTAACAAGCAATAAAGGTTGTCTATAGGCGTAAACAGACCTTCTGTGATTTATCACCATGATGCTAATACAAATATTCATTACACCGTTTCCATAACGAGTTCTAGCACGAAACAGTTCCTGACTCCTGTCGTTTTCGCAACTGGATGGGACTGGGGACAGAAGGTCTCGCTGAAAGATGAAAGTAAGCGAATGGACGGATAATTCCTAACTTCGCACACAAATCTTCATTCACAATGCTAAAAACCAATGTCAAACGAGGCACATTTCTGACTACCGCATTGCAAAAATTGTAGTTGTCCGTGACGTGACTATTTACGTCACAAAATTGCGTGGAATCAGACAAGCGGGTTATACGAGGTGCGATCGGAAAGTTTCAAGACTGCGCGTATAAAAAACCCGTACACTTATCTCAGGTATTAAATTCATCCATCACCTTCGAAGTAGTTCCCCTGGGAGTGAACACAACGATCCCAGCGTCGCTGCCAAGCCTGGAAGCATCCCTGGAAATCTTTCTTTGTCAGCCTGTCAAGCACCATCTGCGATTCTGCCTGAATCTCTT